TTGATTGATTCAGACAAAGTCTCACTCTGTCTCTTAGGCTAGAGCACATGGTGTGATCTTGGTTCACTACAACCTCTGCCTTCTAGGTTCAAGCAATTCTCCTGCTTTAGCCTCCTCTCCTAAATAGCTGGGACTATAGGCACACACCACAATGCCCAGCTAATTTTTTTTTTTTTGTAGAGATGGAGTTTCACTATGTTGGCCAGGCTGATCATGAACTCCTGACCTCAGGTGATCTGTCTGCCTCAGCCTCCCAAAATGCTGGGATTACAGGCATGAGCCACTGTACCCAGCCTGTAATATATTTTTAAATCAGAAAATGTGACACCTCCAGCTTTGTTCTTTTTGTTTAAAATTGCTTTGGCTATTTGGAGTTTTTTTGTTTGTTTGTTTTTTTGTGCTTCAATATGAATTTTAGGTATTTTTTCTGCTTTTGTAAAGAATGTCATTGGAATTTCAGTAGAGATCATATTGGATCTGTAGATTGCTTTAGGCAGCATGGACCTTTTGACAATATTCTTCCAATTGGAGGAACATGGAATGTATTTCAATTTATTTGTTTCTGCTTTAATTTCTTTCATCAGCATTTTATTATTTTCTTAATTTCCTTACTGTGTAGTATGTTCATACACAACTGATATTTGTGTGCTGCCTTTGTATCCTGCAACTGTAATAGATTTGTTTATTACATCTGAAAGTTCTTTTGAATAGTCTTTAAGGTTTTCTACGTATAATATTATGTCATGTGTTAACACGGATAATTTCACTTATTTTCTCATTTGAATGTCTTTTATTTCTTGTCTAATTTATCTGGCTAGGACTTTGAGTACTATGTTAAAAAGAAGTAGTGAGGTAGTTATTCTTGCCTTGATCCATGTCTTAGAGAAAAAGATTTCCATTTTTTACCATTGAACATAATGTTAAATATGGGCTTTTCACATATGGCCATTATTGTGTTGTGGTAAATTCCTTCTATACTTAATATGTTGAAAGTTTCTGTAATAAAAGGTGTTAAATTTTGTTGAGTGCTTTTTCTGCATCTATTGAGATAATTACATGATTTTTATCCTTTGTCCCCTTGAGGTAATGTGTCACATTTATTTCTTTGCCTATATTGAACCATCCTTGTATTACAGGAATAAATCCCACTTGGTAATGGCATATGACTCTTTTAATGTGTTGTTGAATTCTGTTTTCTCATCTTTTGTTGAAGTTTTGCATCCATGTTTATCAGAGATACTGACCTTTAGTGTTCTTTTTTTGTGGTCTCTTTATCTAGCTTTGGTACCAGGGAGATGCTGAACTCAAAAAATACATTTGGAAGTTTTCCTTCTTTTATTTTTTTGGGAGAACTTAAGAAGGATTAAAATTCTTCTTTAAGTGTTTGGTAGAATTAACCTGTGACACCAACTGATCCTGAGCTTTTTCTTTTGGGAAAGTTTCTGATTACTGATTCAATTTGTTATTGGTATGTTCAGGCTTTCTATTTCTTCTTAATTCTTGTTAAAGTGTTATGTTTCTTATAAGGTTGTTTGTTTCTAGAATTTATCCAGTTCTCCTAAGTTGTCCAATTTGTTGGCATGTAATTGTTCATAATAAATAGCTCTTCTTTTCCTAGTTCATTGAAGTATAAGGTTCGATTGTTTGAGATCTTTCTCTTTTTCTTTTTCTTTGACGTAGGCTTTTATTGCTGTAAACCTACCTCTTAGTACTGCTTTTGCTGCATATCATACATTTTGGTACATTGTGTTTTCATTTTCATTTGTCTCAATATCTTTTCTGATTTTTCTTTTGATTTCCCTTTTAACCCAATGGTACTTCAAGAATATGTGATTTAATTTCCTTGTATTTGTAAATTTTGCCATTTTCCTTTTGTTACTAATTTCTAGTTTCATTGTATTATGGTCAGAAAAGACACTTGAAATAATTTTTTGATTTCGTTTAGTTTTCTGTCTGTGTTGTCTTGTAGTTCACAGAGCTTCTTTGAGATAATTATTTGGAATTGTCAGGCAATTGATAGATTTCCATTTTTAAATTTCAGTCGCTGAGCATTATTTTATTCCTTTGGTATCATAATAGTTTCCTGATTCTTTGTAATTCTTATAGCCTTGTGTTGATGTCTGTTCATTTGAAGAAGCCATCACCTCTTCTGGTCTTTATAAACTGGCTTTTACATAGAAAGTCCTTCACCAGTCAGCCCAGCCAGAGACTCTGGGTGGGCCAGCCGGCAGGGTCTGCATGTGAATAGGCCTGCTGCTGTGTCTGAGGGTATGTGAGCTTACTGCTGGGGGCTGCAGGAAGAAAGACCTGCTGCCAGATTTGCAGGCAGAACTGTTACCAGGGGTCATGGGCCAGCTGTTAAGATCTGTGTGCTGGTTGCTCTAAGTCCCTACCTCTTTATTTTGTTCATAACTATCCTCAGGTAATCTAGCCATGCCAATTTCCTCTGTGTTGTGGGTGAGGCAGGACACAAGGTGGCTTCTTGAGTAGCATCCCAAAAGACTGAGAAAGTTGGGAACCTACTTCATACTCTTTCACCCACAGCAGATCTTACAGGCTACGGGGACTTCTTTTAGTGCTGTGCCAGCATAAGGGAGGAGTGACAGGTACAAAGTGAAACTATTCTTTCCCTTTTTAATGCATCACTTCTTGTTTCTAAGTTCTACAGGGGTGTTGTAATATCACTCTTGTATTTGAGAGATTTTGTAAAGGTATTTTCAACCGTGAATGGCTGTTAAGTTGGTGGATCTGTGGGGAAATGAGGTTTGAGACCCCCTTATTCTGCCATGTTACTAATATCACTCCAGTGATGTCTTAAGGACTGTTTTCCCCTATATTTTTTAGATTCATACTTTTTAATCTTTTCTTATATCCCTTCATATTAATATATTTTATTTCATACAACTTACATATTGGAAAGTTCTGTTTTCATTTTAATTTTTATTTCAGGTAATAATATTTTAGAAAATGTATTTATAGGTTTATCAATAAATTGTGTATTTGTTTCCCGTGGTTGCTATTACAAATTACCATAAACTGGGAGCCCAAAAGTCTGAAATCAGTTTCACTGGCCCTAAATCAAGAGTCGGTAGAGCTAAACTCCCTCAGAGGTTCTGGGGGGAAATCTGTCTTTTACTTTTTCAAACTCCTGTGATCATCAGCATTCCTTTTCATGTGACCATATTTATAGCATCTTCAAATCTCTCTCTCAACTCTGTGTTCACATTGCTTTGTCCTCTATGTGCATCTGTCTTAAAATTTCCTCTGCCTCTCTTTTATAAGGGTACATGTGATTCAATTTAGGTCCCACCCTACTGTGCATATGCAAACTCTTCTAGCATACATGCCAAGGATAAAATTATTGGTAATGGGGAATATTAATGTTCAAATTTTTGAATTAATGTCAAATAATTTTACAAATGGTTTGACTAATATATATTTATAACAGCAATGTATAAGAGACCTTGAGAATGCACATCCTTCCCAACACTTGACCTTCTCTGACTTCTAAAACTTTATCAACTTAATGGCTATAAAATGTTATCTCATCATAATTTGCTTTTCATTGATCATTAATGTAATATTGACTAGGATATACTTATTGTCTATATGAATTTTTTCTTCAGTTAAATATTTATGAATTTTATCCATTTTTTCAAAGATTTTTTTCTTACTGAATTTTTATGGTTTTTAAGATATATTCTTTATACAAATCTTTTGTTATTGCAGATGTTGCAGTTATCTTCTTCTGAATTATAGCCCTCTTTCCATGTCACTCTCCTTAAGATGTTTTGGGTGAACAAAATGTCTTAATGTTAATACAGTAAAATTTAGGCCTTTCTTTTTTTGGTTTTTGTAAATGAATAAATTTTTGACTACTTCAAGGTCTTAAAATAAATATTCATCTGTATTTTCTTCTAGAAGTTTGTTATTTTAGTTTTTACATTTTCCCTTTTTAAAAAAAAATTGGGAAAATCCACATGCTTTAATGGAGGTATTCTACTCCCTGAGATTCATCTGTACATTTACTTCTTCAAATCTTTGACAAACACCGGTCCAGGAACTATGATTTATAAAGCACTAAGAATACAAAGGTATGCATTACACAGTGGGAAGTTTTAAGTGCATGTCTTAGTTTAAATTCTGTATCTAACAAAAACTTCAGCCAGTAGGCACAACTGTACTCTACCACTGGTTCTGGAATGTTCTTCACAACCAACATAGGACTGTTTGGTAAGCTGTGTGCTTGTGAGGAAAATTCCCTCTTACCCTTGCTCCTTTGAGATTTACTTTTGAAGCAAAGGCATGGATAGGTCCCAAATGAGGCCACCACAGGAAAATGGAAAAGCATCTAATGTAATAGTGAAAATAGTAATTTTATACTATCAAGCAACACTACCTTGTCCAGGGACAGTGGCTTATCCCTGTAATCCCAACAATTTGGGAAGCCGAGGCATGAGGATTGCTTGAGCTCAGGAGTTCAAGACCAGCCTGGGCAACTTAGTGTGACCCCCATCTCAAATTTTAAAAATTAGCCAGGCATGATGGTGTGCACCTATAGTCCTAGCACTCAGGAGGCTGAGGTGGGTGGATTGCTTGAGCCCAGGAGTTTGAGGTTGTCATAAGCTATAATCCCACCACTGCATTCTAGCCTGGGTGACAGAGTGAGAACTAAAGCAGATTTACAAGAAAAAAAGCAAACAAACACTTTCAAAAGTGGGTGAAGGATATGAACAGACACTTTTCAAAAGAAGACATATATGCGGCCAACAAACATATGAAAAAATGCTCATCATCACTGGTCATTAGAAAAATGCAAATCCAAACCACATTGAAATACCATCTCACGCCAGTTAGAATGGGACAGTGTGGGGGGGGCAGGGAGGATGGGGAGGGATAACACCAGGAGAAATGCCTGATGTAGGTGATGGGTGGGTGGGGGATGGAGAGAGCAAACCACCATGGCATGTATATGTACCTATGTAACAATCCTGCAGGATGCAGGATGTGTACATGTACCCCAGAGCCCAAAGTACAATTAAGAAAAAAGGAAAAATGTAAAGACATTACCTAATTTACTTAGTAACACTTACCTTTCCTCTTCATATAATCACCACCAATTATTGATTGTGTATTATATACTTTAATTTAAGCTGACTTTTTAATAAAATGTTTAAAAAGTTTAGGTTCATGGGTACATGTGAAGGTTTGTTAATAGGTAAAATTGTGTCATTGGGGTTTGTTGTATGGATTATTTCATCACCCAGGTACTAAGCCTAGTCCCCAATAGTTATTTTTTTCTGATCCTCTCCCTCTTCCCACCCTCCAACCTCTAATAGGCCCCATTGTCTATTGTTCTCCTCTATGTCTCCATGTGGGGTTATAATTTAGCTCTGACTTATTAAGTGAGAGCATGTGATATTTGATCTTCTGCTTCTGTATTAATTTGCAAAGAATGATGGCTTCTGGTTCCATCCATGTGCCAGCAAAGGACATCATCTTGTTCTTTTTATGGCTGTATAATATTCCGTGATGTATATGCAATGCATTTTCTTTGTCCAATCTGTCATAAATGGGCAGTTAGGTTGAATCCATGTCTTTGCTATTGTAAATAGTGCTGCAGTAAACATACACATACATGTGCCTTTATGGTAGAAAAATTCATATTCCTTTGGGTATACATCCAGTAATGGAATTGCTGGATCAAATGGTAATTCTGTTTTTAGCTCTTTGAGGAATCACTATACTGTTTTCCTCAATGGTTGAACAAATTTACACTCCCACTGAGAATGCATAAGTGAGTGTATAACACAGTGTATAGGAAAATGTTCGCTTTTCTCTGCATCTTCACCAGCATCTGTTATTTTTGCCTTTTTAATAAGAGCTATTCTGACTGATATGAGATAGTATCTCATGGTTTTTACTTGCATTTCTCTAGTGATTGGTGATATTGAGTTTTTTTCCATGTTTGTTGGCCACACATGTCCTCTTTTGAACAGTGTCTGTTTATGTCCTTTGCACACTTTTTAATGGGGTTGTTTGTTTTTTAAAATTGTAAATTTGTTTACATTCCTTACAGATACTGGATACTAGATCTTTGTGAGATATGTAGTTAGCAAATAATTTTTTCCCATTCTGTAGGTGTTCTGTTTACTCTGTTAATAGTTTCTTTTGCTGTGAAGAAGGTGTTAAGTTTAATTAGGTCCAATTTGTCCACTTCTGTTTAGTTGCAATTGTTTTTGGTATCTTTGTCATGAAATCTTTGCCACTTTCTTTGTCCAGCATGGTATTGTCTAGGTTGTCTTCCAGAATTTTATAATTTTGGGTTTTACGTTTAAGTTTTTAATCCATCTTCAGTTGATTTTTGTATATGGTGTAAGAGGGGGGGTCCAGTTTCAATCTTCTGCATATGTCTAGCCAGTTATATGATCACCATTTATTGACTAAAGAGTTCTTTCCCCATTCCTTGCTTTTGTTAGCTTTGTCAAAGATCAGATGGTTATAGGCGTGGAGCCATATTTCTGAGCTCTCCATTCTGTTCCATTAGTCTGTATCTGTTCTTATACCAGTACCATGCTGTTTCGGTTACTGTAGTCCTGTAGTATAGTTTGAAGTCAGATAACATGATGTCTCCAGCTTTATTATTTTTGTTTAGGATTGCCTTGGCTAATCAGGTTATTTTATGGTTCTATATAAATTTTAAAATAGTTTTTTTTCTAGTTCTATGAAGAATGTCCTTGGTAGTTTGATAGCAATAGTATTGACTTTGTAAATTGCAATTTGGCCATTTTAATGATATTTGTTCTTCCTATCCATAAGCATGGAATATTTTTCAGTTTGTTTGCATCGTCTCTGATTTCTGTGAGCAGTGTTTTATCATTCACATTGTAGGTATCTTTCATCTCCCTGGTTAGCTGTCTTTCTAGGTATTTTATTATTTTTTTGTGGCAGTTATGAATGGTACTGTGTTCTTTATTTGGCTCTTGGTTTGGCTGTTGTTGATGTATAGGAATGCTAGTGATTTTTGTTCATTTATTTTGTACCTTGAAACTTTGCTGAAGTTGCTTCTAAGGTCAAGGAACTCTTGGGCTGAGATTATGGGGTATTTTAGATATAGAATCATATCATTTGCAAACAGAGAAAGTTTGACTTCCTCTCTTCCTATTTAGATATGTTTTATTTCTTTCTCTTCCCTGATTGCTCCTGCCAGTACTTCCAATACTATGTTGAATAGGAGTGGTGAGAGTGGGCATTCTTGTCTTGTGCTGCTTTTCAAGAGGAATGTTTCCAGCTTTTGCCCATTCAGTATGACATTTGGCTGTGGATTTCTCATAGATGGCTCTTATTATATTAAATTATTTTTCTTCAATACCTAGTTTATTGAAAGTTTTTAACATGAAAGGATGTTGAATTTTACCAAAAGCCTTTCCTGGATCTATTGAGATAATCATGAGTTTTTTGTCTTTAGTTGTTTATTTGATGAATCACATTTATCGATCTGCATATGTTGAAGACCAACATTGTATTCTAGAGATAGAGCCTATTTGATTAGGGTGGATTAGCTTTTTGATGTGCTACTGGCTTCAGTTTGCAATTATTTTGTTGAGAATTTTTGCATCAAAGTTTATCAAGGATATTGGCCTGAAGGTTTTTGTTTGGTTGGTTGGTTGGTTGTATCATTCCCAAGTTTTGGTATCAGGATAATGCTGGCTTTGTAAAATGAGTTGAGGAAGAGTCCTCCCTTCTCATTTTTTTGGAATATTTTCAGAAAGAATGATACCAAGTTCTTTGTACATCTGGTAGAACTTGGCTGTGAATTTTTCTAGTCCTGGACTTTTTTTTAGTTGGTAAGCTATTTGTTACTGATTTAATTTTGAAGCTCATTATTTGTCTGTTCAGGGAATCAGTTTCTTCCTTGGAAGGGTATAAGTGTCCAGGAATTTATCTATCTCTTCTTGGTTTTCTACTTTGTTTCCAAAGAGGTATCAGTTTTAGTCTCTAATGCTTGTTTGTATTTCTGTTACATCAGTGGGAACATCCCCTTTTTCATTTCTATTTGTGTTTGTCTGGATATCCTCTCATTTCTTCTTCATTAATCTAATTGGTGGCCTATCTTATTACATTTTTCAAAAAACCAACTCCTGAATTACGTGATCTCTTAAATGTGTTTTTTTGTGTCTTGATCTCCTTCAGTTCAGCTCTGATTTTGGTTATTAATTGTCTTTTACTAGGTTTGGGGTTGGTTTGCTCTTGCTTCTCTAGGTCTTTTAGTTGTGATATTAGGTTGTTCATTTGAGGTATTTCTAACTTTTTGATGTGAGAGTTTAGTGCTACAAATTTACCTCTTAACACTGCTTTAGCTGTGTCCCAGGGATTCTGGTATATTATATCTTTGCTCTCATTAGTTTCAAAGAACGTCTTGATTTCTGCTTTAATTTCATTATTTCCTCAAAATTCATTCAGGAGCAGGTTGTTTAATTTTCAAGTGATTGTATGTTTGTGAGCAGTATTTTTTATTCTTGATTTCTATTTTAATTGTGCTGTTGTCCAAAAGTATATTTTGTGTGATTTCTGTTATTTTGCATTTGCTGATGATTGCTTTATGTCTGATTGTGTTGTTGATTTTAGATTATGTGTCACATGACAATGAGAAAAATGTATATTCTGTTGTTTTGGGGCAGAGTTCTGAAGTGGTCTGTCAGATCCATTTGGGCCAATGTTGAGTTTAGGTCCTGAATATCTTTGTTAATTTTCTGTCTCAACGATCTGTCTAATACTGTCAGTTGAGTGTTGAAGTTTTCCACTATAATTATTGTGTGGGAGTCTGAATCTCTTTGCAGGTCTCTAAGAACTTGCTTTATGAATTCAGTTGCTCCTGTGTTGGGTGCATGTATATTTACAACAGTTAGGTCTTCTTGTTGAATTGAACCCTTTACCATTATATAATGCACTTTTTGCTTTTTCTTATCTTTGTTGGTTTAAAGTCTGATGGGTTTTGTTTGTTTGTTTGTTTGAGATGGAATCTCACTCTGTCGCCAGGCTGAATTACAGTGGCATGATCTTGGCTCACTGCAATCTCTGACTTCATGGTTAAAGTGATTCTCCTACCTCAGCCTCCTGAGTAGCTGGGATTACAGGCATGTCCCCCACATCCCACTAAATTTTGTATTTTTAGTAGAGACGGTTTTAACCAGGTTGGCCAGGATGGTCTCAATCTGCTGACTTTGTGATCTACCTGCCTCGGTCTCCCAAAGTGCTAGGATTACCGGCAAGAGCCACTGCACCTGGCCCAAAGTCTGTTTTTTTTTTTTTCCAGAAATTATGATTGCAACTCCTGCTTTTCCTGATTTTGATTTGCTTGATAGATTGTTCCTCTATCCTTTATTTTGAGCTTACGGGTGTTATTGCAAGTGAGATGGGTCTCTTGAAGATGGTATAACATTGGGTCTTGCTTTTTTATCCAGCTTGCCAGTGTGCCTTTCAAATGGGGCATTTAGCTCATTTACATTCAAGGTTAGTATTGATATGTGTGAATTTGATTCCGTCATTGTGTTGTTAAATGGGTACTATGCCAGCTTGCCTTGTGGTTGCTTTACAATGTTGCTGTTCTGTGTGTTTAAGCGTGTTTTTGTATTGGCTGGAATTGGTCTTTCTTTTTTATATTTAATGTTCTTTTCAGGATCTCCTGTAAGGTGAGTCTTATGATAACAAACTCCCTCAGCATTTGCTTATCTGAAAAGGATCTTATTTCTCCTTTGCTGAGGAAGCTTAGTTTGGGTAGATATGAAATTCTTGGTTGAAGTTTTTCTTTAAGAAGGTTGCATATAGACCCCAATCTCTCGAGTCTAGTAGGGCTTCTGCTGAAAGGTTGGTTACTAGCCTGAAGGAGATCCTTTTGTCAGTGACCTGCCCTTTGTCTCTAGCTGCCTTTAACATTTTTTCTTTCATTTCATCCTTGGAAAATCTGATGATTATGGATATCAGGGATTATTTTCTTGTGTAGAATCTTATAGAGCTTCTCTGTCTTTCCTGAATTTGACTGTTGGCCTCTCTAATGAGGTTGGGGAAATTTTCATGACAGTATTCCAAAATATGTTTTCCAAGTTTTTTGCTTTTTCCCTGTCCCTTTCAGGGATGCCAATCATTTGTATATTTGGCTTCCTTACATAATTCCATACTTTTCAGTGGTTTTGTTCATTGCTTTTTATTATTTTTTATTTTTCTCTGTCTTATTTCAGAGAGCCAATCTTCAAGTTCTGACATTCTTTTCTCCACTTGGTCTATTCTGCTGTTAATATTTGTGATTGCATTGTGACATTTAAGTTCCTTTTTTATACTGGCTCTTTTGTCAGCTCCTATTTCATCTTATTTTGATTGTTAGTTTCCTTGGATTGGGTTTTGCTGTTCTACTGAATCTAGGTGATCTTTATTCCTCTCCACATTCTGAATTCTATTTCTGTCATTTCAGCCAACTCAAGCTGCTTAAGAACCCTTTTTGGAGAATTACTGTGGTTGTTTGGAGGACACAGGACACTCTGGCCATTTGAGTTGCCAGAGTTCTTCCATTGTTTTTTTCTCATCTCTGCATGTTGGTATTCCTTTAACTGCTGGGCTGTTTCTAATTGAAGTAATCAGGCAGGGGCAAGGCAATTGTGCTAGAGTCCCGGGTCAGGCAGCACTTTCTAATGAGAAGCGTGGACTGGGACCTGCATAAGAACACTTTTGTGAGGTGGGTGCTCTGTGCTGGGGGTTCCAGACCAGCAGCTGGGCTTAGAGCCTGGAGGCAGCAACGGTGAGGGCTGCAAGGCAGCCAAGACCTGCCCCTCTCACTGGGACATCTGTCCCAGGGAGTTACAGAGCTGCTACTCACTCAATAGTCCCAGCAGAGCGCGACTAGAGACCCAATCCTGGAGGACCTGCCCAGTAAGAAGATGCAAAATTTGGGACCTACGTAACAACCAGCCTGGCCACTTTTCCGTAGGGCTGCTGCGGTATGCTGAGGGTCCACTTCAGCCCCTAGTTACCTCAGGTTTTCCAGTACCTGAGGTGTCAGTAGCGAAGGCTGCAAAACTACAAAGATGGCAGCCAGCTCCTTTCTCTGGGAGCTCCGTCTCAGGGAGGTAAGAACCTATATCTGGCCTGAACACACCTGTGGGGGTGGTTGTCATCATCGGTTTGGAGATTCTGCCCAGTAAAGAGAAGCAGGATCCAGGTCTTGCGTGAAAATTCAGTCTGGCGGCTTCACTACAGAAGGGCTGCACTGTGCTGGGGAGCACTTCATTCCCTAGTTTCCTCAGACTCCCTAGAGCCTGAGGCAACAATAGCCAAAGCTGTGAAAGAGCAAAGATAGAGCCCCATTCCCCGCAGCTGGGATGTGCGTCTCAGAAAGACTCAGAACCACTGCCAGCTGGAAGACACTAGCAAGGAGGGCTGGTGACCCGTCAGGTGTTCCCACTGAGTGAGGAGAAGCAGGGTCAGGGAACTGTATAAAAAGCAGTCTGGCCACTTTTTCATAGGGCATCTACACTGAAGGCAACAATGGGAAAGCCGAGAAACAACTAAGATGGCAGCCCACCCCTCCCAGAGAGGTGCAATGCTGCTACCAGGGGCTTACTGGGGTTCCAAGTCAACGAATCCTGTGAAGTGCCACGGAGGTGGGGCCGGCAGATCATCACTGCTCAGCCTTCCGGAGTCAGCTGCTTTCCTAGGGGTAGGTATGAGGGTGTAGCCTCCCACTTTGCCAGAGTTGCAGCCACATTTGCTGGGAAACCTGGGCATCTAAAACTCCCAGGGCTTCATGTGTGCCTGAATGGGCTGCTCTGTCAAGACTCCATATAGCTCTGTGCATCAGATTGCAAGCTGTGGTGGAGAGGTCCATGAGGGGATCTCCTGACACGGGGGTGCAAAGATCCATGGCAGAAGTATGAGTGTCCGGGGTTGCTCACCCACTCACCACTTCCCTGAGCTGGGGAGCCTCCCTGGCTTGGTGGTTGTACTGCTTTGCTTTTCTCCATTCTTCATGGCTTGAATTGTTTTCTCGATGATTCCAGTGCATTCACCTGGATGTTTCGGTTGAAGGTGCTGTATTCACTCCTTTCTATCTCCATGAGAGCAGCAAACACTAGCTGCTTTTAGTTGGCCATCTTCCCCAGTTTTTACATTTTCAATCCTTATTCAGTTCAGAGTCGTTTTTTTAAATTATGATATACAAGTCAAATTTACTTTTCTCATAATTGATAACTTTTTTTAAGCTCCATTTATTAAAGAATCTCTTCTTTTCTCATCTCCGCATATACCAGATTTCCGTACTTGAATATTTCTGTTTCTGGGCTTCTGTACGCTACTCCATTGGTCAACTTGACAAGCACTAGGCCACCCACTCTGTTAATTATCATAGTTTCATCTCAAGCCCCAGTTGTTAAAATTTCTTTAAGTAATTTTTAAAGAGATTCATAATATAATCCATAGATTAAATATATTTGAATATGATATTATCCATCTTAATTATTTTCCTTTCAAAATATGTTTCAAAAGTAGTGAAATTAATTCTGAAATCAAATATTTATTGAATATTCTAAAATGGAAGAAATAAAAATGCTTTCTTAGTATTGGTACCTTTGGGATTTTACTTATAGAGTGATTGATTTTTAAATTAAAAAACCCACAAGTTTTAAATTCTAAGCTAGTATTCACTAAGGCTGCTTACTGCTTACTGCCTATTTCTCCAACTGTAAAATGGCCTGATGCAGTATATATCACAAAGTGAGTTTTTGGTAATAAAAGACAAAGGATTTAATATCTTTTAATTAAATGGTATTCACTTATTTAGCATTTGCAAAGGTATTTTAGATATTCAAGTTTCAGCACATTAAAAAATTTAGTTTTCTTTTGGGTTACATTCAGTGTCGTTTCTGATATGTTCATTTGTGGGGAGAGGATTCTTATAAAGAGAAGAAAATTACTGTAATCGGGTGGGCAATAGGATATGGCTTCAGGTCATTAGTGTAAACATTCCTCTAACCCACCCTATAGACTAGGACAGCCTAAAAATTACACAGATGCTTTTTAACTTAATCAGCACTAACTCTGAATGCAAAATGGTTTGGAACCTTTAATACCATTGAATCCACTTTTTTGAGTGACAGTTTTTGAGAAGTCAGATGATAACTACAACTTTGATATAAAATCACACCCTGAATTCTTCCCGTTTATTTTTTTTTCTCAGTTTTTCGATATAAAGATGAGATAGATATATCGACAATCAGCTGAATCCTCAGATGGCATTTTGACAATATGATAAAAGTCACCTGGTAGAAATAGCCAAATGCAAATTCCTGGAACTTCCATCCTGACCAAAAGAGTAGCTGCATTGCAATTCCCAGTAACTAAATGAATTCCACTCCCTCTGCCTATTTTACTTAATCCAAGTTCAGAGTCTCAGATGGAAGCATTTGCTTGGAGAAGCCCAGGTTTTGGGCCAATTACATGATGCTGGTGGGAGACAGAAAGACAAGCAGGCTTTGGCTCTTTTCAGGTTCTGTGGAGAGAGATTGTTCAACAGAACATGTACCATTGCAAGTTCTGCAGACGTACGTACAAAGTAGGTCAGATTCTAGGCAGCCAATGTCATAAAAGTGTAATTTGCCCAAGATCACAGAGCTAAGTGAAAGAGTTGAATTCATTAACTCCAAATCTTTCTACTCTACAACACTACACTGTCATCTTTATTAACTTAAAGACCAATAGTAGATATTGTATATGATTAGGTAAATAATGATAACACTTTGGATTTATATCTCAAAAATAACAAATTTGGAACTACTTTAACACTTCTATAAACTAAAAACTTAGTAGTTTAAAAAAGTTTATTACCTTATTTAACAGATATCCAAACTGAGTTAAAGATAAATTAAATGA